AAATACGTAGGGTCAAAAGAGAATTCACTTCATTGCTATAAACTTGTGCATTGTACCTGGAACAGATGAGGAGAAAAGAAGAGAAGACATGGAAAAACAAAGAAATTAAATGTCTGTATTTTTATAAATAAAGGTATACTGATTTAGAATTTTCCATGGTGCCATGGTATCTCTGGCCAGTCCTCCTTAAAAGAAATGATAGCAAGGTGTGTGTGTGTGTGTGTGTGTGTGTGTTCAGGGGAGGAAGGCAGTACTTGGGAAAACATGGGAAATCTGGAAAAAAACCAAATAGGTCTCAAAGGAATGTGTCTAGATGTATAGGAAAGTATTGCTGAAAGCAAGGCCCTGGCTGGTGTGATTGACTGAAATGATGGAGGTGGTTGGTTTGAATTATAGCTCTGCCAAACCACTCTCCTTATCCTAGGACAAACTCCATTCCTCATTATTTTTCCTCTTATCTTGGGTAATTCACAAGCATTTTAAGTCCTTTCCTGTGTCCTTGCTACTTCCTGTCATGAGCTGAGCAATGTGAATAACTCTTGCGACTTTCAGGTTATGGGAATATGGAGGCAAGAGTCATGACATGAGCAACCATGACATGGTGATTACTCATACATTTCCATTCCAGGCAGACAGAGTTTATTAACAAGGAGTCCTTTTGGGCTGCTCCACAGAAGTGACATGAGTCAGTGGAATAACATTATTCCACAAAGATATTTTGGGGGTTTTGCCTGAAATGAGCACTTTTGCTTAGATGACCTTTGTCCATTGGTTTCTTCCTTTATTAAAAAACCGTCACATATCCCTAGAGAGGAAGTGGCTGTCCAATTAAGACTGAGTTAGGTGTGGTTGGCAGAGAGTAATGTTCCCATAGATTGGAGAATGAATTAACCAGGCTTTGGCCCAAGCTCCTTTGCCAGTCAAAGTGAACAGAAACCACTGTGACTTGAACTGACTCACTAGAAGAGAAGACAGGCTAAAGATGAAGGTTATATTTTCCCAAACATAGAAGGGTTTTTTTTTTTTTTTGGTCCCAGACTCAGTCTTTGAGGGCTTTTGTCTTCTTATGTCAGGGGTCAAAAATAAGTACTCTGAATATCTCATTCATACCATCAACATCTTTTTTTTATTATATAGGACACTTTACTAGAGGTTGGGAATAAGAAGAATTAGAAGACACAGTTCCTGTCCTTGAAGGGATTACAATCTAGTTGGAGGAATAGGGCATTTATTCATTTTTTAATTTTAATTTATTTTTTACTTAATAATATTTTATTTTTCTCAATTATAGGGCATCTATTCAGAAAGGATAAATATCAATACAAAGTATAATATGCCAAGAGCCAAATGAAGGGCATAGATAGATAGATAGATAGATAGATAGATAGATAGATAGGTAGATAGATAGATAGATAGATAGATAGATGTCACAGGAATTCTATGGAGGGAGTAGGTCTTGAGGACTGATATGGTCAGGTTAGATTTCCCAGAAGATATAGGCTCCACAGGATGAATTTAGACTAGACTTTTGGAGGAAATAATATGGTCTAGATGGTATAGTAGATACAGTGCTGGACCTGGAGTCAGGAAGACCTGAGTTCAAATCCAGCCTCAGAAACTTGTGATGCTGGGTATGTGACTGAACTATGTGACTTTGTCTTAGTTTTGTCATCTGTAAAATGGGGATAATGATAGCACCTGCCTCCCAGGTTTGTTTTAAGGATCAAATGAGATAATGTTTCACTGGACAATGAGCTCCTTTAAAGCAGGTACTGTTTCTTTTGCCTTTCTTTGTATCCCTAGCATTTAAAACAAAGCCTGCTACGTAGTATGTGCTTAATAAATACTATTTGACTGCTTGACTCATACAGAGGAAAGAACACCTCCCTGAATCCTTAGTCAAGGAGAGACTGAGGATTCTATCTCCCCTATATCTGTGTGAACATGGGCAAATCACTTAATCTCTTTGAGTCAAAAGAGGAATGGAAAGCGGTAGGGGGTCCACCCTCAATGGAGGTCTTTAAAAAAAAAAAAAGTAAATCTCTTGAGCATGATATAGAGTAGATTCTTTTCCAGGCATGGGTTAGATGAAATCACCACCAAGATCCCTTCCAACTCAGAAATTCTATGACTTTATGAGTTGAAAGCAAGAATGGTCCAGGCTGGGGTCAAATCTAATGTGACTGGTGGGAATTCTTGGAATTTGTTCCACCGGATTGATAAAGTAAGCATTTGCAGAAAAACTAAAGGAAAGTGACACAAGGGTTGGAGACAAAATGACAAGCAACTTGGGTGGGTGGAGTCTCCTAGAAACTCTTCTGGTAGCATTTCTCCAGATTATGGGTACAGGCAAACTAGTTTTTCCAAAATACCATTCCATAATAATATGAAGTTCAGCATTACTGCATCTGGTTGGGTGTACAAGGCCAGTCATACCTGTAGCCGTAAACTTTTAAGAGACCTCTCAGATGAAACATCTGCAGTACTATAGAGGGGCTGGGAGTGACTTAGGTTTGAATATGGCCATCTCTGTCAAAGAGAAGAGGTTTTACAAGTCATTCATTGGTTAGGGTGAGAATTCTGCTTGCTAGTTAGTCTTTCCTGAGCACCAGTAATACTGTAATCAAGCAAAGGCACAAGTTTTCTCAGATGGACTTATAGCCTAACAGTCTCATAGTCATATAGAAAACACTACCACAGGGAATAAGATAGGACTAATAACATGGTTTATCATAGACTTAACACTAGAAGGGACCTGAGTCAGACCTGGTCTGGTCCAACACCCTCATCTTACAGATAGAGAAACTGAGGCCCCATGAAGTTAAATAACTTGTTAAAGGTCACATATGTAGCATCAAAGAAGTGATTTGAACCCCAGCCTCTGACTCCAGAGCCAATGAGATTTCATCTGGGGGAAAAAAGACTGAGGATCAAGTCTTAATGCTTAGCAATTTTGCATCCAATCTGGGTATCGACAAGCTATTGTTGTTTTCCCTCTCAAAGAAGTGAATCTGGAGTGTCACCTTTGCCTTTGTGTTCTCAACACTTACTATAGTGCCTGATAAACAATTGAGATTTAATAGCTGCTTACTGATTGGCTAGAAGAAAGATCAAGAGAGAATAAATCATATGATAATTTGTATTGCTTTGGAAGAATGCATGATCCAGGAGTGGCTAAAGGGAGCAGGTGAAAGTAAAAAGAGAAAATAGGAAAAATGGGTCATATAACAATCTTCTTCAAAACCATCAGGTTATTTTATGCTTAGGGAAGCTCATTGCTGGAAAAATCAAATTCTGTGAACTTTGTCATTCATATAAAACCACTGGGAGGCCTCAGGTTTGCTTATCTAATGCCTTGATTCAGCTTCTGAGTTAAATGTGTCAATGGATTTATTTTTAAATGAAAAGAAATCATTATGTTTGTATATAATATGTCTTTCTCAAGGTTTGGAAAGGTTTCATACCTACTCAGAAACTTATATGGTATCAGTTTTAAGCCTATCGTTTGATAGTTAGGGAAACCAAGAACCAAAGAGGTTAAGTGATTTCACCATGGTCACCTAGGTAGTAAGTGATAGAGCTAGGACCAGAATCCATGTTCTCCTTACTGCTGGATCAATGCCCTTTCCACTATACCACATTGGCCCCAGTATGAGTGGAAAAAAAAAACAAACACTTTCATACTCTACAGACTTTTCTATTCCAAACAAGTGTGCAATTTCCATGTTCAAATATGGTCTTTTCCCTCCAAGTAATGAGTTCAGTTCAATTTTCAAAGATTCAGGCAGGCAGATTCCTTTGGTTAAAAAATGGTGTATACATTTCATGGAAATACAATAAAAGAAGAAAAAAAGCTATACACATCAAGGACCACTGAGCCTAATTCCTTGTTTGGTAAGCTATAAAAGGGCTCAAAAGCATCTCAAAGTGAACAAGAACTGCACAGTCGGAAACATATACTTTCAGAGACCTGGTCATGCTTGTAAACCACTGTGATTTGATGGTGGAGAGGGCCAGGTGTGCTGTATAAATGGCACTGGGGGTGCTGCTAATCCTGTGTTTGAGGTCACTTAAATGCACTAAAGTCAAATCTGTGCCCATGCAGCCATTCCAATTAAGGGAGCAACGTGCCATTTATCAGGGGGCCCATTAAAAGGACGCCGCCTTAATTGCGATTGGAGCTAAGTATGCACAGAGAGACCCAGATGAATGCCATAGCCTCATTTCACTACTTTTCATTGGGCTTCCAGTAAAAGCCATACACTTTTTAGTGGCTTTCACAATTACGCTTCCCTTCAATTTTCCAAAGGTTACAGGGACTGAACCACACAAATCCCATTAAAGTGAGTAGCTGTTGTGCAATATAAGTCCCTTTGAAAACCTTTGCCAGGGCCTATAAAATGATCAGCTGGCTGGACATAGATGCCCCTTGTCTGCCATATTTGCAACTAAGATTCCAATGACAAGTTTTGATGTGGGGATAGATTTCTCCTACTGATGCCAAGGTTTTTGGGTCTTACTGCATCAGATTTTTCTGAAAACTGAGGTGATTAAGACTTATCAAGAGCATTTGTCTTTAAGTTTTATTCTGAAAATATGCCTCAATGTACCCTGAAATTAAGTTTGCCTGACCAAAGATTTGGTTATATTCCAGCATTTGCCTACAGGAAGTTAAAACGGCATGGAGGTGTTGATACGTGGAGGCTGTTTACATAACCCAGTGAACGAAAAGTAGTGATGGAGTGCACTTGACAATGACATAGGTCCCGCCCTTGAGGATCTTACTCTCTCCCTTTCCACTTTACTCTTCTTCCCTATTCCTCATGCCATTTCCTCTACTCCCCACTGCCTTTCATTCTTCCCTTTACACTTACATACCCAATCATTGAATCAATCAATCTACCAATTTTAATTGTGTCTGTTATGTGCTAGGCATTAGGGTAGGCATTAGAGATGTAAAGATAAAAAAGCATCTTCTTAAACAACTCACATTCTGTAAAAGGAAAACATGGTTAAATGACCAAGAGTAGGCAGCAATGTCTTAACCATATGTATGATGTAATGGCTACTAGATCTACTTTCATCCTTGTTAAGAGAGAGTTATCCTTCCGTCCTTTCATATAATAAAGTTTGAAGGCTGGGGCATGTATCAGACTAAAATTAGAGTAGGACTATTGATTATTTGCTCTGTTGTTTCTATCTGTCTTGAATAAGAAGTGAAGCCTTAGTTCCCTGAATTTTTTTTCCTCTCAAGATCTCTGCTTATAGTTTGAATTATCACCAATGAATGGAAATACTATTCTGTTAGGTGCTGCATGCCTCCCTCCACTGGCATTTCTTGGTTGTTGTTTTGAAATGTCATTTTTGGGATCATACATCTTTTGTAAGAGGTAAGAAATGGAATGATATGTCCAGGGAGCAGAACATTAGAAGATTCGATGTACAAAATCAGACCTATCTCTAAAATCTAAGAGAAAAGGCCTCAGTACTGCTTGCAACATGCAGGAGAGTTGATTCCCTGGCTTAGCAGTGAATCAGTTCAGGAGAAAAAAAAAAAGGTTCTTTTTCTTACTTCCATGATGATCAGGTTACTAATCCTAGCACAAAAGATGTTCAGTCTATTATTTGACATTTACTCATCAGCTTTTGATTAGCATTTAGAAGTTGCTTAGTCCCTTTGACATTTCTGTCTCTCTCTAAATTACTTTCTATACATTTTGATTTTACCTAAGTATATCTTGTATTCCTCCCCAACCCCAGTAGAATATATGTTCCCTGAGGTCAGGGACAATTTCATTAAAATAATGTTTGTATCCCCCACATCTAGCAAAGGACCTTGCACCTAGTAGATATTTAATAAATATTTGTTGAATTGCATTAAATTGAAGGTTCTTAACTTCCCTAAGTGGATTCTGCCCTCCAGGACTAAGGTATTTCCTCTACTGGTTTAAAGGTTACTGCCAGTTATTATTATTATCATTTCATCAAGTGACCATCATGTTTGTAATTGTGCATATTTAGGCCTTTATCATTGTTCTTGGCTGAGTACTTCTAGTTTTGGACTTGTCTGTAACTTCCACTTGTGTCTCAAGCTATCTTGCTTCCCTTTTCAAGCTGCCTCATTTTCAAATTAATATGAAGGGTACAAAAATCACAACCAGCTGAAGCAGGATCAAACTATTTACTATAGTAAATTCTTTAAAAACAGTTCTATGATATAAGAGAGAACTTTTTTTCACGGGAAAATACTGCAAGTATGTGCACTTCTTCCAGACAGAAAGTTTGGATTCAAACGTCTGCTAGGATATTACATTTTAAAGAAATCTCTGAGTATTTCTTTTTAAAATATTTTTATTAATAAGCTTTTGTTTTTATATCTTCTAGATTTCCCTCTGTATCTTTTCTCCTCTCCTCTCACAGAGCTATCTCATGTAACAAAAAGAAAAATAATTAAGATAAGAAAAAAAATCGCCCAAACTGATCAATACATTGAAAAAAAATCTGACATATACAATACGATGGAACTGTTTCCCTTCCCCCTATCTTTGCCCCTCACACACATTGTCTGCAAAAAGTAGGGGGAGGTGCCTTCTTGTATTTATTCTCAGTTTGGCTCTTTATAATTTTAGAACATTCAGTTTCTATTGCTTTGTGGTCATCCTTTCCATTTCCATTATTGTGATTGTGAATAGTTTTCCTTACTCTCTACTTATTTCTCTTTGCATCAGTTCATATCAGTTTTTCAATGCCTCTCTGTATTCATAATGTTGCTATTTCCTATAGCATTACAATATTCCATAGTCTTCATGAACCACAATTTGTTTAGCCACTCCCCAGCATCTATATCTTTCTAGTTCTTTGCTACCACAAGTGCTACTATAAATATTTTGGCGTATATTGAGCCTCTTTTTTCAATGACGTCTTTGTAGTATATGCCCTCACCTCTAGATCAAAATGTATGGACATTTTAATCACTTTATTTTTATAATTCCAAATTCCTTTTCAGAAAGCTGGTACTAATTCATAGTTTGACCAACAATCAGTTAGTGTGCCTGTCTTTCTACCTTTCCTCCAATATTGACTATTCCTGTCTTTTGTAATCTTTGTCAATTTACTATGTGTGAGGTGAAATCTCAGGGTTATTCTGATGTTCATTTCTCTCATTAGGTTTTTTAAATTATTATTTCACATCATTTTTAATACTTTGCAATTTTTCATCTGAGAACTGTTTGCTCATAACTTTTTATCATTTACCTATATGTTTGTATGATTGTCTAGTTGATGGAAAGAGTTTTCCCATCTTTTGTTTCCATTCTTATCCTAGATGCATTAATTTTATTTGTGAAGAATCTTTCCAGTTTTGGGCAATCAAAAGTATTTATGTTAGCTTTTCTAAGTGTCTCTATCCTTTATTTGGTTGAGTCTTCCCTCACCCTTTGTTTCCCCAGCTCTAGGACGCTTTGCCCAGCTATTACTACCGTCTCTGCTTCTGGGCCTATGATGTAACCTACTCGTAGCTCTGAAAGGCATATGATCTTCTACACGTCTATTTTTTTATGGCATGATCTTTAATATTAAGGTCACATTTTCATTTTGAATGCATTATAGAATATGGTATAAGATATTGGTCTAAGCCTAATTTCTGCAAGAATGTTTTCTAGTTTTCCCAGCAATTATTATCAAATAGGAAATTCTTTCCTAGGTAATTTGTATGTCTAGGTAGATGAGTCCTGCTAGGGTTCATACTAAAAATATAACAAATAAATCCAACTTGTATTCCATCTAAGGAAGCGTATGTGAGAATCGGTGTATAAAAAGCAAGCCATGCAACAGAAACTCTCCAAAGCAGTTTTTTTTTAAGAAGGTCCCAAGTCATGTACCTCAAGGACAATGTTATAATGAAACTTTAGGGTATTTTATTTTTGGATATTAAAGTCTTGAATTACTTGAAGAGTTTCAAGGTGCTGCTAAATCAAAATATATCTCCAGAATATTTGCAATAGCTTTCAGCAGTGATTAGCAAAAGATGTTAACAAAAGTATGATAATAATGACAGCTAACATTTATATAGCACTTACTATGTGCCGAATGCTTTATGATTATTATCTCATGTGATCCTAACAACAACCCTGGGAGTAGGTGCTATTATTACTCCCATTTTACAGATGAGATAACTGAGGCAAACAGGGGCAAAGTGACTTATCCAGAGTCACCTAGCTAATAAGAGTCTGAGGCTGGATTTGAATTCAGGTCTTCCTGAATCTAGGCCCAGCACTCAATCCACTTTATCACCTAGAATGGGCACTGGACTTTGAGACAGAAGGCTCTTATGTTTACTACCCATGTAATGCTGGCAAATCATCTAATTCATTCTTTTGACAAGCATTCAGCGCAAGGGACTGATGATTGTTGGACTGTTGTTGCTTTGTGAGGGTTGGATATACTAAAGATTTGGGCTCTGTTTGGTAAACTAGTGACTTTGCTGTGTTGGTGGCCACAGCTGTGGACTAAAACAATGGTGCTGAAAAATATTTATACAGTGTTTGCATAGTCAATCATCCTTGAAGCAAGATGTCAATCTCTGCTCCTTTCTAAGTATTGCCTTGGTTGGAAGGATGAGCTATAAAGATGCCCCAGAAGGAGGGGCTGTGGCTGGAAGAATTCTGTATCCATAAGACTTAAAAACAAACTTAGTTTGTTTTTTATGACTCCAAAAAATCATAGGTTGTTTCTTTATTGGCAAAATGAAGTATGTCTGCAGAAACTCAAGAAAAATATAGAGCTATTTTGGTAAATAGAAGCCAGCTTATACAAGAGAATGGTAAGAGCTCTGAGTTAGGAGTCAGGAGTGTGTCCAGGCTTTGCCTCTGACTTGTGGTGTGACCTTGGGGAAATTATGTCATCTCTCTAGGCAGGATTTTTTTTCATCTGCAACATAAGTACGATAATCTTTTCCCTACTCAATTCAGAGGGTCGCTGCAGAGATCAAATGATCTGACATATATTGGAAGAACTGTACAAATACAATGTGGTCAATATTTCAAGGACCTGTGACTTCAATAGTTTGGCAACATCCTATGTAGAGAGACTGATAATATATGTCCATGACATATACACATATACATGCAATACTATGCATATAATACATGTACATACACATAATACACATATGTATAGATATACATACATGTACACACACCTGTACATACATATACATAATGTATGGCTTAATCTTTGAAAGTTACCTGAGGATCAGAGAGATGACATGATTTACCAGTGATTACACAGCTATCAAGTCTCAGAAGACAACCTTGAAGAGAATCATCCAGCACTGTGGATGATGGCCCTCATGGGTTTTTATTAAATAATAATGATAGGGTAGCAATGTTTTTCAGAATTCTACCATGCCTAGGTTGGAAACACTTCATTTAAGTTTCTATAAATATAGTCCCTTGCATTTTGTATAAAACCATGACTTACGATTCAGAAGAAATGGTAGTTTCCATTTTTGAAAGGAAAATCTCTCCCTTGGTTATAGTCAGTTTTCATGAATCAGCTGTGGAAGGCCTCTCTATTTTTAGGTGTAAGTACCAATGTGACTCAAAAATTTAGTTGAGGTGGTGGCCCCACTTATGAGTTCTCCTAACACATTCTTGGTGCCAACAATCATAACGTAACCTTTCTGGCTAAACAACATTACCTCAGTGGGTATAGTTTGTTACAAGATTTGTTTCTGTTGTACGTTATAAACTATGGCAAGGAACTCTTTGTCTTTCTACTTGGAATACCAGTTTCTGTGATCAAGGAAAAAAGACATGTCCTCATAATAGAACTAAATCTTCCGGTGGTCTGTTACCTTTAATCAAGTAGGGGTGCCACAGAAGACGTGTGGTTACATTGGGACTTGCTACCCAGTTTCTCCCACCCCAAACTCTATAAAACAGTCCAGATATCACAAGTAGATGAAATACGTATATATATATATATATATATACACACACACACACACACACACACACACACACGTATATATATGTGTGTGTATATATGTGTGTATGTATATATGTGTGTGTATGTATACATATATATGTGTATATACACACACATATATATACACACACAATTGC